TCATAGACAAGGTGGCACCAACTGAACTACCAGCTGGTGAATACAGCACCGACGTCACTTCAATCCACTGAACTGCAGCAGTCACCTCGTCAAAGTAACGTCGACGTCGCTTTTTGTGTCACTGCAGCGCTCTGCACCCATCACGGTAACATCATCATCTCTAGCGTCACCAGCGTCACTGCTCACCTCGCCACGGCACGACGCAGCGTCACGATGTGAAGACGCGGGTCACTCATTCCCGTGCTGACCCAACCTCTCGCACCGTCTCCGATGTTGTCCGTACAAGGCAGGCGACGCTGTGCGGCTTCTTCTATTTAGTGGTCGTCCGTCAATGTCCTTTCTAGCAGGTGTGTGACTGGTTATTCACCCCGGCCGACGAGAACAAGTGACTCTGGGGATGCTTATGGATACCATCCCGAACGTCACCCAAAGTGTGACCGTCAGATATGCCGGAACATGGTTATCGCTCCTGAACTGCACCCCAGCAACCCCGGCAATCCCGGTTACTACACATGTCGAGCCGACAAGCTGTCGGACCTTGTCCGTGGTCTTGAAATGACTTTTTCTTGAGCATAGTATAGACTTTGTGTTGCACATTGCTGATGAGCTATTCAGATGAAGAGAAAACTCCCTGGGAGCGAGCTGCACTTCCTACCTGGTTACTGCCCCTACTATTGTTTAATACATGGGGAAATCGTCGTACATCGGTCGTACCATTTGAACAGGAGAGCGAGCATTGCCTTGCCGACATGTTTCTGCTTACAGCCTAGCGCGCCCTCTCTTCTTCGCATCATTCTCATTTGCAGTTCCTCTATAATCTACAAGGTATGCTAGTTAGCTATTTTTAGGTTGTCAGGAAATACACTGATTCACGCTGATCTGCGGTGTCTGCTATTTTTAATTGAGTCACGCCTCGCGCTCCCATTCCGTGTACATTCGCTTTTTGGCTCCACCGCGTTACCACATCTAATGCACGAGGAAGCCATTATCAGAGTGTCTGGGTCGACTTCTGGAGTAAGCTATACGTCACTAGGAACTATGCGGTCAGCAATGACGTAACTCTCTCCTATCGCACCACGCATTGTTTTTGTTTTCCTGCCGCCGTCTGGCCCATCGGCCGATCACAATAATCCGCGTCTCACGACTGCCACCGACCTGCCCGCCGCCGCGTCACGATCGGCGGCGGCGGCCAACGCGGCGCGGCGCGACGGCGGCGGCCATGTGGCGCGACGGCCGGCAGTTTCTCTTTCGGTCGCGGCGCGCGGCGGAAAGCGAAAGCGGCCGGTGCTGGCCGGCGGCAGACGCCACTTTCTGTTTCGCTGAGTGTCGCCGGGCGCCGGCGGCGCTGCCGGGATGTGGGTTACGGTCACGGGGCGACCAAATGGCCGAAGTGCCTCCTGGCTTCGTACTAAAGCGGGACGCTATCGGCGGAACTGTACCTAAATGACTGGCGGCGAGGGAACTACCTTCCGGTGCTACACAGTACACACACTACGCAGCTGTCTTGTTCTGTGCGCTGGGTCGCGGGGTACTGGGAATAGGTAGCAACTAGTGCACGTATGCTTATTTGTGGGTAGAAGATAAGACATAGGTATACGAACATTCTTGACAAGACCCTCAGACTGTATGCATACATATTACATATATGGGCAGTGAATACGCAGAGAACAAGGACATACTGACATGGGGTTGAAAGAAGCAATTTATTACTTTCAGAAATGTGCTGCTTCTGTTGTTAATTATTTCCCCGTCGGGCGGGCGCTAAGTACTAAGTGCGCTCGTCGCAGTGTGCGGTGCGCGGGCGATCAGCTGATCGTAGCCTCGCCTCGTGTCGTAAAGTCTCGAGAAGCTTCGCTGTGCGCCGCATAAGTAATCATTCGCTTCATTCGTTCCCTGGCACGAGTCTCGTTGCCTATTTCGTTATTCGCTCGTTCGTTCTCGTTTGAACTCGGTTTGAACGGAATAGAAGGGAAAGCAAGAGAAGATCGTTGTGTGTGTTGAATTCATTACATGGTGCCGAAACCCGGGAAAGATCATTGAACTGCCGAAGATCGTTCGTTTTGTTGATTTTTTTGTGACTGATTATGGCGGACCTCGTCAAGCTCAAACGCTCCAGAGCCTCTTGTAGGAGCTGGCTACAGAGGGAGGTTACCAAGCTCCAGAGCTTGCTGGATGACAAGGAGCCAGATTTGTTTGTTGTCGAGCGAGCAGTGAGTGAGCTTCAAAAGAGGCTTGACAGTTGGGACGCAGCGCAGGAGGCAGTTGAGCTCGAACTCGGTGAGGCAGAGTTGCAAGATGACATTGTAGCTGCTGGTGAGTTCAGAGACAGCTGTGTGGCGGTGAAAGACAGAGCGGCCCGCCTACGTCTGACTGGATTGGGCCAAGCTGCACCACCGCAGAGTGATTGCTCTCAGCTGAGCCAGTGTATCAAGCTGCCGAAACTGGATCTTCCCAGATTCTCAGGTAATGTGACTTCTTGGCCTGAGTTTTGGGAGTCATTCACGGCTTCTGTGCACAACTCTGATCTCCCTGAGATATCAAAGCTAACGTACCTGAGATCTCTGCTATCTGGTGATGCCAAGCGATGTATCGAAGGCTTACCCCTGACCAGTGCAAATTATTCAGTTGCCTGTGAGCTTCTGAAAGCACGATTCGGAAGAACAGAACAGATAGTGTTTGCACATGTTCAAAGTCTCTTGGCATTTGGAAGTGCTGACTGTTCTGACCTGAGAAGGCTGCAGGATAAGCTGCTAGTGCATGTCCGCAGTCTCGAAGGACTTGGTTATGGTGGGGACAAGTATGGACTGTTCCTCACCCCACTGATCTTGTCCAAGCTGCCTGCTGGTGTTCGACTTGAGTGGGCAAGAGAAGGAGCAGGAAAGGAGGCTGACCTCAGCTACCTGCTGGAGTTCCTGTCGAAGGAGGTGGACCGCCGTGAGCGGTCTGGAGCTCTGGCTGGTCCGGACGCTGGACCATCTCAAAAGGAGCAGAGGCTGCAGCGCTTCAAGAGACGCCAGCCGTCAGCAGCTGCTCTTCAGGCTGTGGCCGAGAGCTGCGGCTTCTGTGCAGGACCACACCCAGCAGGGAAGTGTTCCAGCATGGACTCAATGACCGTGAGTGACCGCCATCAGCGGATAAAGGCCGCTGGCCTTTGTTTCATTTGCTTGAAAAGAGGTCATGTTGCCAAAACTTGTTCTGCTCGGTGTTCAGTGTGCCAAGGGAGGCATCATAAACTTGTGTGCTTCAGAGAACATGGTGTCACTACCTCTGTGAACTGTGATAAGGCTCAAGTTGACAGTGTGGGGGCAAAGGATGCAGTGGCGATAGGAGCCTCTCTGTCATGTGTCCTGGGGAAGGAGTGTACCGTGCTGCCCACAGCACGTGTGGTGGTACACGGCTCCAATGGGCCTGTGGAGGCCACTGTTCTTTTTGACAGTGGCTCGGACAAGAGCTATGTGAGCTCATCCCTAGTGCGGAAAGTAGGAGCCAAGTGGGTGGGTTCCCAAGATAGTTCTTATGTGGCGTTTGGGGGTGGAAAATCTGGTGCCTGTAGCCGTGATGTGTACGAACTTAGGCTGACAGGGGCAATGACTACTGGTTCTGCCATGCACCAGGTGACCGCGATGGAGGTTCCCATTTTGTGTGCGCCGCTACAGCGACCGAGGGTCCCCCTTCATGTACTGGAATTCTTCAGTGGTTTGGAGCTGGCGGACAGCTATGGCTCTGACCGCCAGGTGTCTGTGGACATACTGATAGGTTTGGATCAGTTCTGGGCACTGACAGTTCCAGGTCGAGTGCAGAACGCTGGGGGGCTTGTGGCCCAGCTGAGCGTGTTCGGGTGGGTTCTGTCGGGTCTGGTGCAGGGAAGCGGCTGTACAGTGGGCTGCCAACTGCTCACACTGGGGGATCTGTATGAGTCAGTGGTGAGGAATCTGTGGTCTCTCGAGGGTATAGGTATTAGTCAGGATGAAAGCACTGATTCGACGGTCCTGACTGACTTTGACGACTCTGTGCGCATGGTGGATGGCCGGTACGAGGTGAAGCTGCCGTGGAAGGAGGGTGCCGCCTCCGACCTCATGGACAACCGAGAGGCAGCTGAGGCGCGCTTGTCTGGACTGGTTCGTAAACTGGACAAGGAACCCGACCTGCGAGAGAGGTACAATGCCGCTCTCCGTGAGATGGAGGACGCAGGGATTGTTGTCGAGGTTCCTGCAGAGGAGCTAGTTAGTCCGTACCCGACTTTCTATCTGCCACATAGGCCTGTGGTCAGAGAGAGCAGTACAACGACGAAGGTTAGACCTGTTTTCGATGCTTCTGCGCGCGGACCAAACGGTGTGTCACTGAATGACTGTTTAGATGTAGGGCCTTGTTTGCTGCCGAACTTAGTCGAGGTACTCCTTAGATTTAGACGATGGCCTGTCGCGGTTACCGCAGATGTGACAAAGGCGTTTCTTCAGATTAGACTGAGCAGAGAGGACCAGGACTCTCACAGGTTTTTGTGGGCGTGTGGGGATCAGACGCGAGTGATGCGGTCCCAGAGGGTGATGTTCGGAGTGTGTAGCTCGCCGTTCCTACTGAACGCGACCATTCGTTACCACTTGTCGCAGTACCCGGACTCCCCACTCATTACCGAGATGAGGGAGAATTTCTACGTGGACGATTTCTTGTCGGGAGCCAACTCAGAGGAGGAGGCCAGGGCTTTGTTGTCTCAGGCACAATCTGTGATGATAGAAGCTGGCATGGCACTGACCAAGTGTCAGTCGAACAGCTGTGTGCTCTTTGACAAGGCACACTCTGCCTCAATCAGCGGAGAGGGAGAGAGCGTGAAGGTGTTGGGAGTCACGTGGCTTCCAAACGAGGATGTTTTCTCCTTCCAGGGTGTGACGCTCCCATCGAATATTGTGCCGACAAAGAGAGTCGTGCTGAGTGTTATGGCTCGTCTCTTCGATCCAATGGGATTTCTCACGCCGTTTGTGATGACGTCTAAATGCCTGTTCCAGGAACTGTGGCAGATGGGGCTGCAGTGGGATGACCCTCTGCCTGCTGAGAGCGCTGAGGTCTTCGGCCTGTGGCTGGAGGGCCTGGAGATCCTAAAGGACCTCCACTTTCCGCGCCGCTACTCGGAGAGGGCGTGGCAGAGCTCAGATGCCGTCGAACTTCACGCCTTCAGCGACGCCTCACCCAAAGGGTATGGTGCGGCAGTCTACCTCCGCGTTCTCCAGCCCGATGGTGCGTACACTGTGTCGCTGGTCATGGCGAAGGGTCGTGTCGCTCCTCTCAAGCAGATAAGTCTGCCGAGATTGGAGCTGCTGGGTTGTATGCTCGCTGCTCGGCTGGTTGTCTTTGTGAGGAAGGCACTCCGCCTGTCTGACGTCACTCCGTGCCTCTGCTGGAGTGACTCGATGATAGCCTTAGCATGGATCAGAGCCAGTCCACGGAAGTGGAAACAGTTTGTGGCAAATCGAGTCGAAGAAATTCAGTCGCTGACTAGCCCGTCGAGCTGGTCGCATGTGCCCAGTGCTGATAACCCCGCAGACCTGACCACCAGGGGGCTGTCTGCACAGGAGTTGGTGACCTCTCGTCTGTGGAGGTCGGGCCCGGTCTGGCTGTCTGAGCAAGCTGGACGGCCTGTCGTATCTGACGAGCCAAACGCACCCGACAGAGCTGACTCTGAAGCAGCTGCCGAGGAGGTGGCAGTTGCTCTCACCACGACATTGTCTGTTACAGAGAGCCCGCTGGACTTCGAGCGGTACAGCTCTCTTTCACGTGCTGTTCGAGTGCTTGGCTGGGTGCGGCGTTTCATCTACAATGCGCGCCGCGCTAGTGGGACGCGCGGTCGGAGGACGAGACAGTCTACTGCGAGCTGTCTCCGAGGTGAGCTGACGTCTGAGGAACTCTCGGAGGCCAGGCGACAGCTATGGGCGCTGACACAGCGGGACGCCTACCCTGAGGAGGTGAGAGCTTTGCAGTCGGGACGGCCTGTCCCCAAGGGTTCACCGCTGTGCCGTCTGAACCCCTTTGTGGGTGACGACGGACTTGTTCGAGTGAGAACCAGGCTGCAGTTGGCAGACCTATCTGATGATGAGGTTCATCCTGTGCTGCTTCCGAGCTGTCATGTGTGTGAGCTTCTCGTGCGTGAGCAACACTTGCTGATGAAGCATGCCGGAGTTCCGACTCTGGTCACTGCTTTAAGAGGCTCGTTTTGGATCGTTGGTGTCAGACGGCTCGCGAAAAGGGTGAAACGTCAGTGTGTCTCGTGCCAGAAGCAGGACGCTCGGTCCTGCAACGCGCCTGTGGCGCCTCTGCCCCGATCGCGAGTGACGCAGGCTCCGCCATTCGCTGTGACGGGGCTCGACTTTGCTGGGCCGGTGTTTTGTCTCGACCAGCCCCGTAAAAAACTGTACATCTGTCTGTTCACGTGTGCAGTAACTCGTGCTGTTCATTTAGAGCTGATGGATTCGATGTCGCTCTCTGACTTTCTCTTGGCTCTGAGGCGGTTCGCAGCTCGGAGAGGGATGCCGTCAGAGATATTTTCGGACAATGCCGCCACTCTGAAGGGTGCAGACAGCTACCTTCAGGCTCAGCTCGGTCACCTCGCTCCTGTTTGGCGGTACATCGCTCCACAGTCGCCTTGGTGGGGGGGCTGGTGGGAGCGTCTCGTTCGGACGGTCAAGTCGGGACTAAAGAAGTCCCTTGGCAGGCGCTGCCTGGGTAAGACAGAGCTCGAGACTTTGTTGCTAGAAATCGAATCGTGTGTCAATTCGCGTCCTCTCATGTACTCTGGTGATGACGCTGACTCGTCGTCTCCGCTCACACCCAGTCACTTCCTGATCGGACGTGCCTCGGGATTCCAGTCCGAGCCGGTGGAGCAGCCGACCGGAGTGTCACGTGACTCGCTCTCGATTCGTGCCAGGCTCCGGAGAGAGCGTCTGGATCGGTTCTGGGACATCTGGTCGGCAGAGTATTTGCGGCAGCTTCCGGTGACGGTCCGTAAGTTCCGTCAGCAGGGACAGTTGAAGGTCGGATCAGTAGCTCTGATCAGAGGGGATAACGTTCCCAGGCTGATGTGGCCGCTGGGCGTGGTTACCCGGCTACACCCGGGGTCTGACGGGGTTGTGCGTGCGGTAGACCTCCGTACGGCCAAGGGTGTCCGTACAAGAGCCGTACAGAGGCTCCATGATCTAGAGGTGTAGGTAGGTAGGGCGCGCGCGATCGAGCTCTGTGACTGTGTTCGTGTGTATCAGTGATCGTAGTTAGTGATCGTTTAGTGATAAGCTGTGTTGCATATCGAGTGTACTTGGGTTGGAGTGGCATGTATCCAACAGGGGTTGCCTACTCCAACAGGGGGGAAGATGTTGTTAATTATTTCCCCGTCGGGCGGGCGCTAAGTACTAAGTGCGCTCGTCGCAGTGTGCGGTGCGCGGGCGATCAGCTGATCGTAGCCTCGCCTCGTGTCGTAAAGTCTCGAGAAGCTTCGCTGTGCGCCGCATAAGTAATCATTCGCTTCATTCGTTCCCTGGCACGAGTCTCGTTGCCTATTTCGTTATTCGCTCGTTCGTTCTCGTTTGAACTCGGTTTGAACGGAATAGAAGGGAAAGCAAGAGAAGATCGTTTGTGTGTGTTGAATTCATTACAGCTTCGGCGGCGGGCGAGCACACATATAGTGCTCGGTCCTGCTCAGTCCGGAATGTGATGCGTTAATGCACATTGCACAACTCGCACACGTGCATCCCGGAGAAGTGTGTTCTGAACCGTTTACCAATCGACTAGAAGTGACAGACAATTTGGAATTGTGTGTAATCAATCTGCAAGATGTGTAATCTGTAAACATACCATTCACCGCCCTTGGTGCCTGGTGGGGATGGGAAAGAAGCAGGTATGTAGATGCTGCTGGGTAGATGTGCACACGCACACACTGATAGCCTGGTATTTGAAGACGCACCTGATTTTCTACTCCTGGAACTGTGCATGGTGAAGGTAAGGAGTTCCATTTCAGAGGAATCTTCTTGTCAGAAAATGTTTTCATCTGAATGGAAAACCTGCTCGTGAACTTCAAAGAAATTGTTTCAACTACAGTCTCTCCGAATGTTCTTTTAACCATTCCTCTAACCTTGTTTGTTTATTTATTGAGGCAGTAACGCGCGCTGACTACAAAGGTCATTTTGCGCACATACATAGTTACACCCACGCAGGATATTGGTGACCACGACCAGTTTCGGCAAGAGTGTCGTAGCGAGTGGATCCGACAGGACTGCACCGGAGGACGGTAGTGAGGGCGGTCGCACTGTCGGCAGAGAGCGCGACCCCACTCCGGTGATGGGGCACCTCCCTGGGGGCAGACAGGCGGCCACCCACTCCGCTAAGACCTCCTGCTGTATTGCAGGACGGCTTGACGCATCGCGACATTGTATCTGCTGAGGCAACGGGTCTTAGCAGGATTCATGGCCTGAATATGAATGAGTCTGCTGGCTTAATGGTGATTTAGATGAATTAAGAGTAGGATCAAAACAGTTTTTTTTTTTGCCAGTACATTATGTAATTGTTTTTACCCTAGGTCTACGAGCTGTTTGAATCATCGCCAGCACGTAACATGTTATATAACACAATCTTTTATTGCAATTCTACTTGTGCAATGGATATTTCTTATTTTTCCCTGGTAAACTGGCTCGCATAACGCAGTATTCAAAGCAAGTTAAACCGCTGGCATTTTGTAAAACTTTCCACCGATGTACGAAAATTAGTGTCACTTTAAACTACGGATGCATGTTGCATGTTTTATTAGAATTATAAACTGGACTTTTCCTTAACATCTTTCCGTGTTGCAGTGCAGCACAGCAAACGTGACAGACATTAAGCATGTAACTGCTACAAGCTCTGCCCTGGCTAGCCTCCATGGACTTTTGCGCCCTACGAAGGCGCATGAAGTGAAGCCGTGAACGGATTTGTTAGATATTCAGTTCGACTCAGTGTGTGTAGGCGTTACAAAACCAATTGAGGTGCCTGCTTTTAATCTACTTTACTTGACTTTTATAACGCTTTTTATTCATGTTTTATCGATGTTGATTTGTCTGCTCTTACACTCAAAACATAATATGCTTATCATCATGTCGCTTGACTTAATATCGGTTAGACGAACAATGGCTCTATTTGATTATTTGAAGAACAGGACCTTTAACTGTTTTTATGACCAATCTATGCTGAACATCTATCGAAACCAGACATGTGCATGGATCCGAGTGATGGATCTATGATCTCAGTGGATCTCGAGGCGAATTGCAGACTCGGATCTATGATCCCATCGAATCCGGTGTGAAAAATTTATCCTGGATCTATGATCTCACAGGATCTGACGATAAACCAAGAACCTGGATCTATGATCTGAGTGGATCCCGCCATGCACAACATTTGAAACCAGGTTTTCAAGTGTTTCTATGTCAATAAGTGACATAAAACTATGGATTATGACGTGTTATCACATAAAAGCACTAAATAAGAACGTTTGTGAGTTGCAACGAGTGATCTTTTGGGATTTCTGTGTTGACCAAAAATAAATGAGGATCTATGATCCCACTGGATCTCAAGCAAAAATCCTAGACGCGGATCTATGATCCCTACGGATCTCTCGATAAATTAAAGAACTGGATCTATGATCCCGACGGATCCGAGATCAGGATCCGTTGGATCAGATCCCAGATCCATTTTCTCGGATCCATGCACATGTCTGATCGAAACTTGCTTTATTTTATCGTTGTTTAGGAGATACCGTTATTTTCACACACACTTAGTCCTGCGCAACTTAATTGTAATTAAGTAAACGCTAAAGTAAAACTTAATGTAAACGCCTGATTACTTTAGCCTTGACTGCTGATAGCGAATATTCAGACTAACATTGAATCTCAGTGATGCTTTATGGGAACCCTTTTCGCCTCATTTAGCGTGCCCAGACTTCCAACCCGTCAAAGTTATTTTCAGCCTATATCAGGACAAGGTGTCACAAATTCCCATCCAGCTGTAAGTAAAGTCTGGATTTCCACGCCCGAAAATTACCTCATGCTTTGAATAAACAAAACAACTTTTAACGCCGTCAAAAACACGGTCTAAATCCTTACGGTGTTTCAAATTCCTGGCATGATTTTGCGCAAGCCTCGTGTGATCATTCCTCACCATCAACATGATTGGCAAGTTGTTTTGAGCCTGACGGCACTCGTGTCACCCGCGGCCTGTCCTGTTGTCGGACTATCGGCTGCCATCGCGCCGCGCCGGCCTGTCAGCGTGCCACGGCCCCGCTCCCGTGGTCCTACACTAACGAGACGTGCAACTGTACCGTTCACGGGCTGACAGGTGCGCCTTGGCGGGGGGGGGGGGGGGGCGAGGGGGTCTGAGGGGGTGTCAAGGGCTTATTCTGCTGTCAGTACCCACATAGACCGGTTTTGGCCACTCCAGCGGCAGAAATGGCTAGTCGGTTTTTAGGTAAAGGTTAGTGATTCGGATTGAGCTAAGTTTTTGTGAGTTAGGAGATGTGCTGTACCACAGACGGCTCTATAGCTGATAACTGGTGTGATGGATGTGTCGAGAATTGCATTATGGGCTGGTCGGCGCTTCGAGTTGTATTCCAGAGGTGTGGTCGATGCTTTCCATTGTGAAACTTAAGACTTTCCTTGATGGAATCTAAATTGATTCCGATACTAGTCTGTGAAGTGTCCACGGCTGTCCCCTCATGTGGGTTGGTGAGTCATGGTGGGAAAGTATTGTATCGTCTGCGCTACTCTGAGCCATATTCGCAATTTTAAAAACTTTTTATTTTGTTTTTTTGTATTTTATATTTATTCATGAATTTGTTACGGAATCCCCAGTATTCAATCCTGCATTTTACCCATGATTAAGTTCGTACATTTTTCATAAGAGATCCAAGGGCGTCATATTTTGATAAGATCAGAGGTCACATTTGTATTTTATAATTGCGAGAAAAAATTGAAATTAGGAACAAGGCATTCATGAAAACACAATTTAATATCTCATTAGCATCGCCCATGCATAAATTCGTTCGTAAGCTAGGTTTCCAAATGAATTGCATAGGGATCCCCAGTGCTAAAAAAAAACATTTTACCCATGATAACGCTATTGCATGTTTCATTTGAGATTATAGCATGTTCACACTTGATAGGTATTTGATCATTTCTGGAGAAGGCTGAGATTAGGAACTACGCATCTATGAAAAGACATTTTGATGTTTCAGTAGCAGCGCCCATTCATTTCATTTCATAGCGAACATTACTTTCTAAGGCCCAAAGATTACCGCTGTCGCAACTTTCGATCATTGACAATCAATTTAATTTAAAAAGAAAGGAAAATGGTAAACATTGTTATGCTTATGATCCATGGGTATAACTGTATCAATTTTGACCGCACTTGGCCCAGCCATTCTGGGTATGTAGGAGCGCCACTTTGCACGTGCGCACGTGCAAAGTGAGCGTCAAATGATTTGTACAGGGAGCCAGCTAACTTTGCCGAATTTGAGCTCAATCAACCCAGTCGCTTTCGAGATATGGAAGCGGCCTCCTGCACGTGCGCACACATGCAATCTGGATCCCAACGGACTTGTGCACTGTGCGGGGAACCATAGGAACCTGCTCCTAGTGGTGTAACAAGTTTGTGTCGTATTTGTTCTGTAAGTGTATGTGTGTGTGAGAGGTGTTAACCCTCGCCCGCACATGGGGGGGGGGTTGCCACCCCCAGGTAGTCTTTCTGCTCTGCACTCAACATTTTTAGAGCTAGAAGGCTGATTTTTCGCATAGCTGCTCCTCTATCCTTTCTGGATGTCCACTAAAAATTTCAAGTTTCTGTGATTTTTGGTTTCGGACCTTGTTTTTCAGGTCATGTCATGACCCAAATGGCCAATTCTCAACATCTTGCGTTTGCCATGGGCCTTGTGAGCTTTTGACACCTTGATTTCGGCCTTTTTTGCCAGTCTTACCTCCCATCTATCATGGAACATGCTGTTCGACGATGACAGGTGTCAAGGTCAGGGTCAAGTTCAACCTAGGTCATCTAAGATAATTGCGTTTTAGGCAAGCTGAATTTACTTTTTGTGAAGTTTTTTGACTGCATTTTTGGTAAAAGCTTCTCAGATCATGATTTCATGTAATATGGACACATAAACAATCGGTGCACACATCAGTATACACACAGACACACACAGACATACAAACACATATAATTGACCTTGACCTAACTTGACCTGAAATGACCTCAGCAGCAAAAATCTGGTCGGGTAGTGTGACAAAGAGGTTCTAGCTGGCTTGGCACCAGAAAACAGCATCGTCATCGGTATATGATAAGCAGCGCACTTGATATCCAACGGTGACCCAAAACAGCAATATTTTTTAGTTTGACCTGACCTGGAAGGTCAATGACTGACCTGAGAAGGTAAAACTGGGTATCATTGGATTCGTCTCTTCCCAAAGAATCTCTTTGGTCTTTACCGCTATGCTCTAATCTCCAACAGGAACGAAATGGCGCGGGGGGGGGTGGCAACCCCCCATGTGCGTTCTAGGATGGGAAAATGGCATGTGCGGGCGAGGGTTAATGCTATCCGCCCAGTCGCTTTCGAAATGTGGGAGTGAGCCCTGCACGTGCGTAGCATCCCACCGTGCTGGTTGGGAATGCATCACCCGATCAACGTCCACCCATTGGCCAAGTTTCATCGTAGTCCGCCAAGTCAATGCCAAGTTTTTTTTTAACGGAACAATTTTTGCACCCCTGACTTAGCATGCGGCACGTGCCGTGTTATGCATCGAAAGTAGTCGAATTCATGCTCTAAACTCTAAAGGATGGATCTGTCTGAATAGAAGAATGCTTGTTGATCGGATGAGCGGTTACCGAAATATAGCTGTGAAAAATGTTATGCTGTGAAAAGGGTCAGGCCGCTCAGATCCTGACCCTTTTCACGCATTTAACTCCCAATTCTCCCGCGTTTTTTCCCCATTTCAACTCCCCATTTTTTTTTAATCTCAGACGTATGTGGGCAAGTTTCGTGAATAAATGTGGCATGACCTTTGAGCTACCGCATTCTGAAATTTGTCCACTATTTTAGGAGACAGATGTTCGTTAGTTGGTGGCATACATAGCCACTCATTGTTAAGTCATCTGCGAACTTGATATTCGCAATCCTTTCGGGCAGGGAAGTCCTCAACATTCAACAGTTTTATCGTACATATTCAAGAGCCACGTGAGCTAAACTTCAGCCCACGCGAATAGTAAACGCTGAGATCTCACGAACCCTTCAGGGCCTGCCAAAGTGGATTGGTACGCGGCACGGACCGTTGAGTGCGAGTCATCTCAATCAGCACAAACCTCGCCGACTCACGACTCCCCTCTCAGCGACTCTGACTCAGTCTCCCCTGTCGGCGGCTCACGACTCCCTCTCTTGGTGACTGTGACTCCCCCCGCCGGATGCGAGCCGGACCTGTCGACTCGCGAGGCTCGTGAGATGGCCACGTCAGCGTGGCGCCTCTGAGCTCGGCCACCGGTGTCTCGGGCTCGGCGCCTGACGCAATTAACGGTGGCTAATTCCCCGATCGCCCATCTGCGGTCGGTGGGAGGGGAGGGGAGCCTCCGGCCGCCGAGTGGCAGCCCTGACCGCATGACGCCCATCGGCCCCCCGTCCGGTACCAGCAGGTCACCACCGTTAGCGAGGGGCAGAGGGCAGGTGTAGGTCAGCTATTCCCAGGTGCACGCAATGTCACGGCCAACAGCGGTACTCAATGCAAAGAGCTTTAGCTACAGAAATTAACACATCGCATGCTACACATCACGGCGCTGCCAAGCTTTTATGTCTGGCGACATCACCTAATATTTATCTTTCTACGTTTTTTGTTCACCTTATCGTGCAGCGAATCAAGCATGACAGCAGCGGCTAACTATGCAGTCAAACGTGTCTGCGAGGCTTCTGTCTGTGGGGAAGATCATCAGGTTTCAGTCTGACATGTATGATATGGTGACTGCTAAGTGAGCATGAGGGTACGCTTCTGTTATACCTAGTGTCGGCTGTCCTAGTGTCCTAGCTGTTCTGTCCTAGTATCCTAGTATCCTAGTCCTAGATTTTAGCCTAGTGTCGGCTGACTAAGAAGAGCTGCTACCGTTTCATGCATTAATTTAACCAGCGCACTGACAGAGAACCGGGCCAACTTCCCATCGACGGGGAAGAGGGGGGGGGGGGGGGGAGGACGGGCGAATACCGACCCCAAAAATCCTAAAAAAAGGTAAGCAGACTATCGATAAGCGGTAAATTACATTGGATATGGGCGGGCGATGGCTACAGTTTTTGCTTACGTCATTTTCAAGTCAGGCAAAAATGACACCACAAGGGACAAAGGTCAAATTACCGGCAATGCAGAACAATACAGGGTGTCCCAAAATTAACCCGCGCACCGACGGGGGGGGGGGGCGGATATCCGCCCCCCTGAGGTTTTTCGCGAATAGCGGGAAAACCGCGGCGCGAAATTTGGTACGACTATTCTCTCATCAATTTTACACAGGGTGTGTAAGTTTGAACCTCCTAACTTCTAAGGTCAGGTCACCAGGTCACTTTGAATGACCCGACCTCAAGTCACTTTTTTTGCAAATTTGTCACCGTGCCAGAGCTACAGAAGATGTCGGAGGCCTTTGAAAGTCGCAGGATGTTATAAGGTCATTAGCAGCTACAATTTGGCTATCTCGGAATTTTGATATCGATGAGGTCAGGTCAATTTCTCGACCTCCCCATTATAAGTCAATGGGGAAAAAATCAACTTCCTGTTTTTACCACTAAAACGGGTCGGAATGACCCCATATACCATACATGTCTTCACATACGATCAACCTTCACTACCTTGAGGTCTGTTTTGCTGTTGGGCAGCAGTTAGGTCATGTGACGTCATCAAAGGTCACCAGCGGTTTTTGCCAATAACTCCGTACAGGAACAAGATACAGCAGCGCGGATGGTCTCATTGTGTTCAGCTCGTCAAGACGCATCGAATGATATACACGTTGACCTCGAGGTCAAGTGACCTGAGGTCAACCTTTGGCTGACCTTTCGTTAAGCCCCGCGCTGCGCGATAACGATTTGGGCACGGCTGGTGGAAGTCTTCCTGCCGCGACCTAGCTTGTTCTCAGGCGTCTATCCGCTTCTGTCGCGTGTCAACCAGCGCCAAATCGTGCGGCAACTCATGCCCAGTGCCTCGGCGACCTGCGCGACGCGCTAGCTCCACCAGAGGCGAAACGCGGGGGGGGGGGTCATACCCGTCCCCCCTCGGTCGGCGCGTATGTAGAAAACCAATAGGTTCGGCGAGGGTTAAAAGATTTGTTCTACCTACTCGCGGTTTAATATATATTAACCTCATTTAGTAGGGCAAGGCAAGTTGACCTAGCATGATCTTCGGTTGTCCCTATTTATCTTCTCTCTCTCTCTCTCTCTCTCTCTCTCTCTCTCTCTCTCTCTCTCTCTCTCTCTCTCTCTCTCTCTCTCTCTCTCTCTCTCTCTCTCTCTCTCTCTCTCTCTCTCTCTCTCTCTCTCTCTCTCTCTCTCTCTCCCTCTCCCTCTCCCTCTCCCTCTCCCTCTCCCTCTCCCTCTCCCTCTCCCTCTCCCTCTCCTTTTCCCTCTCCCTCTCCTTTTCCCTCTCTCTCCCCCTCTCTCTTTCGAGCACTAACAAAATCGTTTCACTGACTATCGTCTTCCTCAGCTGCTTCTCTTGCTACTGTCTGTACACGATATTGCTTATGCTTATTTCTTAGTCCGCTCTGCTAAAATACTAACGTAATTCGACTACGTTGTCCTGAATGGTGTATGATGGATTATTTTGCTGTATTATTTTGCTCTTGTGCAATTTTTCTCCCTTGTCTATTTACAAAAACGTGATGAATGCTTGCTTCAGAATTTTATTTATTTAGAACATCAGGCGAAGCATAACTGTGCCTTCATATACACACATCGTGTTTTACAGACATTGTCTTGTATTGAACGATATAAAATTTTGTCTGAAACACACAGGCACAGCACAATATATACACTTTCTACACTGGTGGCTCAGTTGCCCACGGTACACGAGGCACCGAACCTGGTGTCTCGGGTGGTACAGTCGCTGTGGGTAGCGGGCGGTAACTTCCGTTCCCAATCACAATCGTTTTCGTCGGCAGTCGTCCGGCAGTCTGCGTTTCGCTAATCCTAAATCGTAGCTCCGGTAACATAGCGCGGCCTTCCCTCAGCCACGCTTTTACAATTAAAATAAATAAAGCACACTTAGAATGAATAAATTAGCCATTCTTTTCAAAATATCTGACAAGATTGGTAAAATACTTCCCCATACTTCCTTTTGAAGATTCTATGCAAAAATTGACATAGGTAGATACGTGTTCTCATCAACCGAGTCCTTCTTATGTAGCATTCTGGGGCAACAATGGTAACTTTGAGCTCTCATTCTTAGCTGTTTCATTGTGTGGAGGGACATTTCTTAAAAGCGTGAGCTGCTAATTTTGTGTTGATGCGCATTAGTCCTTCCTTAGGATATTGAAATTTGGTATGGATCGATGTTTGGGTGTTTGTGGTAAGAATAGGATGTTGGCAACCAAGTTGCAATTTCAAACTTGCTATCTATCTCATCGGAGCATTGAAAATACCGATATAAATATACACCTCCACCAAAACGTTTAGGGAAGCACTGCGGTGCGATCATTCCAATTTTTTTTAAAGATCTGGCAGACCATTGTTCAACTAATTTTACAGACAATCCATAGAAAATACTTCAAGAAAGTACGGATGAAAATCCCCGGTATTATTGAGTGTTTAGCGCCACGCAATGCTTCCCGTTCTGAATAGACGTGCCGGCCGGCTGGTGGCTCGGCCGGCGGTAGGTACAGGGGGCGGGGTGGGTGCCGGGCCCACCTGCCACGCCCTGGGTGTGGCGGCGCCGTCGGCACTTTGTACTGGAGCGGCGCGCACTGCCGGCCGCGGCGCGGCGCCTCTGCCTGCAAAGTTCGACGTAGGGCGGTGCCGGCTGCGGAAGTTACCGACGGAGGACGCCCTGTGTCGCAGGGGGGAGAGGAGCCACGGCGCCTCTCATGGCAGACGGCCAAACGAGTCCGGCAGGCCCGAGTTATGTGGCCCGCGATAGCCGCCGCAGAAATACGATCCCCCTTCAATGTCTGAATAGTATGCAGCGCTCAGCGGGGCATGATAACCCCGTGTCAGTCGTGCATGACCACACTACCTAGCAAGGCACTGCCTTTTCACGATTCTTTGTGAAAATAATCTAGCCTGAATCGGCCTTGCCCCACCTACGGTCACACACAAGAGTTTAACATTAACACAAGCACGCATGCGTAACAAGAACAAAGAAAGGTCGCGCGGGCACGCCCCGATAACAAATCACAGCGTCAGCTCGGCAGCCATGCTCCTGAGTGGCGTGCCAGACAGGGGTCTAAGCTAAACGGTAACTTCACACCATGGTAACACTGCTGGCGTCCGCATCAGAACGCATCGCCCCACCATACCGGCCCGCTCTAGCGCTTGGCTGGCGGCGTCTTGGGCGAACTGTGGATGTGCACGTGCTTGGCCAGGTGCGCCTTCTGCCGGAAGCACTTGTTGCAAAGGTTGCACTGGAACGGCTTCTCACCGGTGTGGGTGCGGATGTGCACGTTCACCGAATATTTGTCCTTGAAGCCCTTGCTGCAGATGTGGCAGAAGTGCAGGAGGCGCCCACGCGAGGGAGGTGCATCACCCTCGGCAGCATTCCGCTTGGCGTACTTTCTTTTCCGCGCGGCCTCCTTCTTGGACTGCGACTGGGGCGAGGTCAGAGGACCGGGTGGACTGAACACGTCCTGAGAGCCGGTTACTGGCGACAGGGCGCAGTCCATGCGGACCGGGCTGCCGGCGGGGGCGTCACACGGGTACCGCGGGGGCACGGGCGCCAGGCCTCCGCCGCTCGTGTACCCGTGAAAGCCACCGGGCGGATAGCAGTGTGGCAGTGGTCGGGTGGGTGGCGACGTGACCCGCGTCGCCGGACTTAGGGTGCCGCGAAGCACTCCCTCCAGGATCGAGGAGCCGCCCTCGGGGCCGGCCCAGCGCGCGCTGGGTCGTGCCGGGGCAGGCGCCGGGCCCAGCGGGCGGCTGTCGTTCACCGGGGCAGCAGCCGGGGCCGGGGAGGGGCTCACCCGGGTCAGGGCGGCGGCCAGCTCGTCTAACCGCAGTGCCTGCTGGTACAGCTCCTCCGGGTCTCCCAGGTAGTCCGTCACCATCTTGTCGAGGTCAACGTCGTGTGTCTGCGTCGGACCGTGCCCCCCGGCAATGCCTGACCCGGGGTGCAGCGGCTGCAGACCGTGGAGAGCCTGCAGACCGAGCAGTGCGTCCTCCTCATCTTCGTGTGAGCTGATGCGCGGCCGCAGCTGGGTGGTCGGTGGTGGAGGCGGTGGCGGCTGGGGCGAGGGCAGACAGTCCGTCTGAGGTGGCTGCGGCGGAGTCCGGACGTCCGAGTCAGAGTCAAAGAGCTCGGCGCCAGAGTCACTGAAGTGGTCCGGGGAGCTGGGGAGGTCTGATGTCCGGTAACAGTGCTGCTGCTGGTGCTGTTGCTGCTGATGGTGGTGGTGGTGGTGATGCTGTTGGTGATGATGTAGCTCCTCACCCCAGATGGGCTCGCTGACGCGTTTCTCATCGACCGGCCAGTGTCGGAGCTCGCTGCCGAAGCCGGTGTGGTGCGCCGGGTCGGCGGCCCGGCCCAGCTGCGAGCCGAGGGTGCTGAGGATGTGGCCGATGCTGTTGGACATGTCGGCGTCCGAGTCCATGTCCAGCCCGCCGGCGGCCAGGTTGTAGAAGTCGTACTCTGCGTGCGGCTCCGTCTTGCCCAGTGTGTCGGCGGCGGCGATGCTGGAGCCCACGCTGCTCGAAAGCTGCGGCTCGTTATTCCTGCGAGAGCGGAGGGACACGCGGTCAGATCACAGCGTCAAACGAAGGCTTCATTTGCTTTTCATATATCGACAGAAAATGGCTCATCTTGTCGCCTTCTGTTCCCTTTTGATTTAATCAGATTCAAGATGCTTACTCTAGACGCCTGTAGCCTTGTAAACCGTTATAAATCGGGCCAAATTATTCAAAAGGGGATTCCCTTGTGCATGTCCCAACATAAGCAGTGCAGCCGAGACTAGCGGGAAGCTTGACACTGCTTCTGTTAGTCCTGCAGCGCGACAAGCTGCCTTATTTGTGTGGATCAGGGTCAGTCTGGAGAAGGCGGCATTTGCTGCAGATACTTCTCACGGCACACAGAAATAATACAGGGAGTCATATACGGTGTCGAGCGGCGGCGACCGCAAAGCGAACTTGGCTGAGAGTGCTGACATTGCCTGTGGAAACGTTATCTTTCCATCGCCTTCAGCGACCTTTGCTCGGATCATGAAATTCCTGACCGGCTGCGGCACCGACCGCTCCGTGGCCGTCTCAAGATCACACCGGTAAACCGACGTTTTTTCGAAGTTTCGTGCCGATTTATAGGAAACGAGCGCTACTTCCCGCGCGGGCCGACGTGATCTGACCGTTACAGCAGCGGTGGGCGTCCCGGGTTTTATCCAGTAGCCGGTGTTCTCCGTACCGTGCGAGAACCACGAGCCGGCAAGAGGACAGACCGCTACGCGCCCAGCCGTCTGCAGGAGACACTCGTGACCGTGGGCTGTTGGTGTTTGGCGGCGAAAACTGTGTCTCATGGGACCGTTGACGTTAGCGGTGTCATGACTGCAAGGTGACGGTTGTGGTCGTAGGCCGCGGATTGTCTGGCGAGAAGTGTAGCATCTGGATTTGTGAAAGCTTAGGCGAGGTGCACAGAGGAGACGTGAGAAGCAGACTAAAAAGGATCAGATGCATAGTAACACATACGTCATATTACTTGGCATTCACAACCTAGAAACAGCGTGAAGTTAATGAAAATAGCATGCTGATGTAAAGCCTACATTTTTAGAGCTCACTTTTTTGTGTGGAAGAGGAGTTGCTGCCTTTTTGTTGCGCTTTTGGTTTAATCCACTGCTTTGCTGTGGGTTGATCTATTTCTTTGTCGTGGTCAGCAACAGAGGTTTCACCATTTTTACTCCGTCTGTATCCGGAGGAGTGGGTGGTTTTACCAGAGCTGAACCCGTTTAAGAGCGTCACTGGCGGCTCCCACCTGCCCCGTCAGTCTCAGGTGGCCCGGTCGGCTCCCTCCCCTCCCCTCCACGAGCCGCGGCGCGGCGCCCGGCCGGCCGCTCGTCCAGCCACGCTGCGCAGCCCGGCGGTCAACTCTCACTTTTCGCCCGGGGGCGATGGTCCGCGGGCACGCGACGCGACCGCCGCGGAGCTGGCGCCGTGCCAGCGGTTCCGATTTCCCTTTTGGAGCCGGTCAGCTGAGAGACACGCGGGCGAAGGCCGGGTCGAGCGGCAACCGCAGGCGGGTGGGCACGCAGTCGAATGTGACGTGACTAGCGTGGGTAGGAACAGATGATTGTTTGAATCAGTCATTACTGTAAATGTTGATCTGTGCTGCTTGCCTATTTGTATTGGTATGTGCATTAAGTTTTATTGTAATGGGTTGAATGAAAAAGTCCACATTTTTTTCGCAAATGGAAAAAAGAGACCAAGTGCCACTCAGGCCTCTGGCGTTCGCTCGCATTACCGTGAGATCTCAGAGGAAAGCATCTAAAAAAAAGCTGGGCCTGCAGTCACCGCTGTCGAAGATACAACCCCGATTTTTTTTTGAGTATGTGCGATATCAACTTTCAGAAAAAATCAGCATTAAGTCTCCCGTCATTTCGGAAGTATTCAAGCAAAGCCTAGGGGGTGACATCCCAACCCGCCACTAAAAGGGCTGAAGTGGGCCAGCTAGCTTTAGAAATACCGAAGCCTCACTTAGCCGCTCTATCGCTACGCCATTTTTTCTATGTGCGTGATATGAATGTGTTCAAGTTGAGACCACGTCGCATTCACTCACCAGTGAGGCCCGCTGTTGAATATTGTGGAAGGACGCCAAGGATCCATGAGTTCCAAACACATGACCCCGCCGTACCCAAGAGCCACCGAGGATGACCGCTCGTGCTGCCGCGAAGGGCGCCTGCCACCAACTGAGCCTAATCCGTACGGTGGCACCGGTTATAGCTTACCCTGTCATTGGTATTCCCCCATGTGGAATGCTCAAAGAGGGCGAGGATTCCCCAGAGATGGAGATAGATGTGCATCATGAACGACCGGAGGTGTTTTCCAGGTTCCGGCTGGAAGGACATCAAGCTCAGCTGCGTGCTGTGCTGGGTGTGGCCAGCCTGCGTGGATGATGCGTACGGAAGCCTCGGACTTTTCCATCCGTGTTCTTCCCTCGAGTAAATTCCCTCTGGATTAATGAAAAGGAATCCGATAAATATGTGCCTTGTAAGTTGTAACCGCTTGAAATGACCGATTTGCTTTGACCCCCCTAGGTAAACATGTGTGCTTCTGAAAGTTTACATTTACCAATACCTGACGCCATAGAGGACATAGCATCCTTCGAAACATTTTGGTCGGCATTTGGCCACCGGACAGCTCGTAGCGGGGTCGCCGGCGGCCACACAGACCCACATGGGAACAGTCGGCGCGGCTGGCGATTTTTACACCACTCGTCAGGCGGGCCGGGCGTGATCCGCCTTTTGGGCTAATCTGCGTGTCATCGGCCTGTCGCGCCTTCCAGGCTCGCGGATTCACAGCAGCTCGCATACGTAGCATGCATGCAGTCCATCGCCGACAACCGGCTTCCATTGGCCGGCTGCCGGAACAAGCAAGGAAACCGCCACCAAGATTCCAGGATAAAGACCGACCGCGTGCTTTGAGGTAATTAACTCTTATCGGCTTCATTCATTTTGCGACAGCCATGGTAAATTGATTTAGGATGTTTACCATTGTTTTCGCGATGCCAAACAACATTCTTCGGCAATGTGAACGCCTGCTTTGTGGGCTCTTCTCGAGGTTTATCGCGCTTTGACAATGTAAATCCTGCAGCAAGACATTGCATCACAACCGTCGTGAGCAGAGAGGGAGAACTGGAACATAGCCTAATACGAACTAATAGGATGATATCTCTCCTCATCTCTACGGCACGTGTTCTTGGTAATCGCATGTGCATCGCAGGAGGTGGCGTCTGCCGTCCTCTGCTCGACTGAAGGCCTGCGAGACGGTGAGGAGCGGTAGATCAAGGCGCATACGATAATGCACTTAAACCTGCAGCAAAAATAGGACTTTGAATTTGATATATGTGTGCTTCTGATGTTACTAGGTGGAAAATGAGGACAAAAAAGCGAGATTTCACTCAGTTGAGCACCTGCTAGGCAACTCAGCCCGGCTGTAAATCCGGTTTATTTTACACAGTGACACGGAAGCTATTCAGCCAGGCCTTGGCTGCAGGAGTCTGTGAGAATGAGTTGACTGCCGAGTGGACATCCGCATAGCCGACACGACTGGCGCGGCTTAAAGCCATGCGGAGCCATCTAAAGTCGATTAGTGTCGCATTAATCTCACGACTGCCGTCGTCTGCCTCCAGGACCTCGCGTCATCACGAAGAGGACACGCGCTCGGCCGGCCAGTCTGCGGCAGGTTTCTTTTTGTCTGCATTCGTGATGGTATCGGTTCTAGCATGTGTCTAGCGTGGTCTGCCATGTCTCTGAGGCCCGGCCTACCTTCCGCCGCCGCTGACGCATTTGTGTCAGCGCGCAAATGCGTCATCCCTCCCCCTCCCCTGCTGCAGAGCCGGACTGCGGACTGTCCACTCCGCTCCAATGACGTCATAGGTCGGTCAGGGCTGAGGACGACATCGTCAACCCTCGACCCAATCCGGTATGTCGCGCAGATCTCAACGGTAAAACGGGACTCATTAGACTACGCAAATCCTTGCTATTTCAGGTATACGGCGCGTTCTGATTGGAATCCGGCGGGGAGGGATTATCTGCCGATAGCACTGGCAAAGCTGCCTCGTGCTGAGCGTTTTAGGGGCCAGATAATGATGCATAATCCACGATAGTGTGTCCGCACTTCGGGTGATGTTTAACGTGGGAATGATTGATATGCTGCTTATCTGCGTTATTAGAGGCCATGTTGCCTTGTATATGAATAGATATGACATTGAATCAGATGCGTAAGTAATGGTATGCTCATTAGTACAATCTGCATTAACAACTCAGTAGTTTTCTTCGCGCGGTAGTCTGCTCAGCATATCAACTAACCATAAGTTAGATGTGCATCTGCAGTCGGATCTGGCAGAGGCACACTAACGGCCCATTAACGTCAATTACAAGCAGATTTCGGTCTGATTTTTACGTGCCAGCCACTTGGTACTACGGCAGCGCCTTTTGATTCATCTGCCATGGCGCAATTCCTCAGCCTGGGGGCGACCGGGGCCGGTAGCTAGACGTTTGTCGGATTGAATTTTTACTGCGCCATTCCAGCCGGTCTAACCAATGTCATCTTTCATGTTGCCAATAAAATGCTTGTAAGCTGTCGGCGACCGCTGTTGCCTACGGCGAACGGGCGGAGGGTCCGATATTTTTCCTGAGAAGATCTTAGACAGAAGCCGTGCTAATGCCTGAAAATGACAGATTCCCGGAGCTGAACATGGATGCTAGATCACCGCGAACAACGGCGATAAATGCTAGCGTGGAGCGTTGACAATGAAAAATTGGGAAGTGTCGTATTTTACGATGATTTATGTTATTACTGGAACCTACCTGATGAATAAATTGGATTAGGCTTCAGTTCTTGGAATGAAGCTTAGTGAATTTTGTCGTGTGGCAATGGATTTTATCTTTTTCTTTTTTTGTCATTTGTTAATTGAGCTGTATTAAAAGCAAATGCTCACTGGGCTTAGTCGATCTAACCCAGAAATTTGTTCGCAAAGAAAGATGCAAATGATGCAGTATTCAGTCCCGCTCATTATCCCGTCATTTTCAGTCGGGCCATGCGGCCGGCGTCAGTTGCATCTCCATACAGCACTCGCCAGCCGCGTGTAATCCGTGTGTGCCGGCCCTTAGCGCGCCGTATACACCGGCACCACCCCCACCGGCTGGTGATTAGGAGCGGGCAGCGGCGAAAGTGACCAGCCGAGCGGCCCACCACTTCCCGGTCCGCCGGCGGCTGTGCCGGTTCGGTCGGAAGGCCGCCCCCGCCCCCGCCCCCGCCCCCACCGGAGTACAGCGCTGTGACGCTACCGCTCGGGATGATGTGACTAACGGGATGAGATGATATGATAATGTGATTGAGGGGATGGGGTGTGATAGACCGAATGACGAGTCCGGACTTCCGCCACCCACGGGCTGGTGTGATCAAGTGATGCTACTTGATTCACGGAGTTTGTTGGATGGGAGTCGATGGATGTACTAGTTAGGACCATTGTATGATTGGCGTTATGCTATCAATCACTCCAATACATATACAAAAACAGATACCGTTGGATATTGTCCCTGGATTGTCATGCAATGGCTAAGCAAATATTTCCCTACTTTCTGCAAGCAGCTGCCATCTCTTTTCTGCCATCACTCGGGCTGGCAACAAGGAAGAACAACGCATCGCAAAAACGTGGCTCAAGTGATTATGGTCTGTTGTTCCGTGCACAAGACAGTGCAATTGCGTGATTACATCGACTAGCGGCATGATAATGGCCTGGGATACTCTGTAAGCCTTTGTTGAAAGCCGCATGAGTTTTTGTTTGGCGTCAACTGCTTGCGCGTTTTGATGGTGTGGGCATATTGTGTTGTTCAGCGCTGCTTCCTGGTGGTTATTTTGCAGGAGATTACAGGTAAGTTGTATGCGTGAGCAGACATCGATAGACCTGAGCCAGAGACAGGTCTGCGAGTGGTTCAGAATTATGATGTGTGTGACTATAAAAATGTTTCTTTTCGTAAATCGTTAGTATGCAATTGGAGTTCAGTGAAGAAATATAGGGAAGCTCATCAAATGATTTAGATCCACATTGGATATTTCTTAACTCATACAACTTCCAAAGTCCACAATGCTGTTAATGAATACAGCCAACATGTTTGTAGAATTGTGTGTAAACACTGCTTACATTTGCCTCACAATTGAAGAGCCGCTTTCATAATTGCAATGTCATACCAATGCATGAGGATATATGTATTTAATTACCTTCAAACGAATCCTATGCTTACACTTGTCCTTCAAATGCAATCCCTTCTGCAGAAATATCAGCATAGAATATGTTGAGCCCCACCTGATCACCAGCAACCTCACGATCAGTATTGACGGCCAGTGACGGCTTCACCTCATGAAACATGCATCATCCCAGTTTGGGAGAGCCCCCAGCACCGCCTATTATCCCACCATGACCTACAGCACCAGGGTGTCTGTTGGACTCGCCGACGCGTGCTCACCTGAAGAAAGTCCTGCCTAGTGTCGGTAGAACCATAGCGCTGCACATAACGCCGCCGAGCCGGCGGGGCACGAGTCACTGCCACCAAACGCTCTGTGGCGTGCGCGCACGAGCGAGCGAGCACTCCTGCGATGCGACCGCTGCGGGCGACGGGCGGCGGCACTCTGACCGAGCGGCGGCGGCGCCGCTACCACTGACCGGTCTGGTCTCCGGCCTTGGGACCGGTGGGCCTTCCCTGGCGGCATGCGGCGGCCGCCTCGGCTTGTGGAGGAGTCCGCCGGCTGGTGCGTCGGCCGTGTGCGCCGATTCGGCTGCAAGATAGTGCGCCGGTGTGCGCCGGTGTCGGACAGGGCTGCTGACCGCGCGGGAGGAGGCGGGCTGTCGATTTTGGTGTCGTTCCCCGCCCCGCCGTTGTCAACTCCCGCCCCTGTCGACGTCGTTACCGCCCCTGACGTGGCAAACCTCCCGCCCTTGCCGTCGCCAATGTTCCTTGTGCTGCTGTCTGACGACTTCTGTCGGAGTCAAAGAACCTGCCTCACTGTTCTAACGGGATGTGATTGGGAAAGGCTGAATTTAAGTGTAATGCGTGCTCGTGTTTGGAATTACTTGGTTTGAATGGATTGCTAGGTTTTTCGCAAATGGAGTCAAGTCAACCTGAGTCGAGCTGGACTCTAAAAGATTATTTGTAACTAGCGGAGTAACTATCGCCTCCTCCCGCGCGGTCAGCACCCCGAGTCTGAACCTGTAATTCCATAGGTATATTCGCCAAAAGATATAATACGTCAGGTTCAAACAACATAAATTGTGCTTGAACGAAGTGCAGATTTGATACATGCTGGGATCAAATTTTGTTCACGTATCGTGAGGATAAATAAAATGCTGCTTATATGAGCTCTGAACCTGTATGTTGTCTGAGGTTTGCACTGGCATTCAGAATGCATCGTATTATTAGTAGTTTCGTCTATTTTGGAATTTGGTTAGCATACCAACCCAAAAGAGACTTGGCAAACAAGCCATTTTCGGACCTGTGTTTAAATACCGAACACCGAACGGTAAATTAGCAGAAGCACGGTAGTTTCTTGATTGGCTCATTCTTTTAGCTGCGCTGATCAGCAGCTGATTGGGGGGCGAGTCTGCGACGAGTGACATACGGACACCCTTGTATCGCCACGTGATCGCCGAGCACCTGCGGGTCCTCGGCCGAGCACATTCCACCGCCGTCAAAAAGGACCGCGGCATTTTAAAACTGCTCACCGACTATAATGAGCGCTTCCTTAAGCGCAGCTCGTGGTAGAAGTCCAACGATGTTGCCCCTGGAACCGGCTACGCTAATTCCTCTTTCTTGCTACAGGCTAACTTTTAATCAGCTTTAAACGCAAGGTAATGGATTCCGCTTAGTGAGGCTGCTACGCACCCTGTCATAGAGGACCGCACACGAAGCCACGCCGATTGGTACGATTGGTATGATCAGCACTGTCTGCCGTCGTTGAAACATGTAATAGCTCTTAGCTGTGAATTTGCTTAGTGACGGAAAAGATGGAGGCCATATCTTCAACAAGCTTACTGTAGAAACTCGTAAAACAGGTTGAAGCGAAATTCTACAAAATAACGTTCCGTTTTTTTAAGTTGGAGACAGAACCTGTAGTGCATATCATCAGTCACACACACGCCACAAGCTCATTCTCCAATAATCTACATTGATCTCTAGCCTGGATACATGAAGACCATGTCACTATATGCTCCCGACACGGTGGAACCATGCAATTCTGCAGAGCGTAGCGCCTTCAAAGAAATTTCGTGGGAGACTGCATAACATCACAAGAGCATATCCCCTACTGAGACGGAGACCACATCTGCGCACAGCAGCATATCCTCCCAGCTAAATCCACGGGTGACTGCATCGACGCACAAGCACATATCAGCGACTGCAGCCAGTCATAGGAGAGTAGCACCATTCGATCACATAGCAGTGGCGACGAACTTGGCCAAGGCCACACCGCGAAGCTGGATATATCTGAACACGTCATGTCAGCAGCTTGCGACAGTCACGACTACACTACTGTGCCTTGCAGAGTCGGCCGCAGAGTGAACTGTGAATTGAACGGTTGGGCACGAACCCATGGGCACGAACGTACCGTAGTGTAGTGGTAACGAACTACAATATGTCATGCTTTGTATGAGGTGTGGGGTGGTATTACGGCGTTAAGTAGGCACTGACTTGTTTTAGGTTGGAGGCTGACACTTCCAATACCACTCTTATGGCCTGGCTACACTGCGTTTTCTGCGTGCGTTTTCTGCGTGCGTTTTTTGCGAGTTTGCGTGTTTTGCATAATATCGTTGTAGAAAAACATTAAATATTAATATAACTTCTTTAGTATTTGTATAAAAAATCAAACGTTGATATTAATTAAAAGTTAATATGAAAACATATAACAAAAACGTAATGTCGTTTCTTTCTAGAACGATATTCCGCAAAAAAAACGCACGCAGAAAATGCATAGTGTAGCCAGGTCTTTAAGAGAAGCATCCAAATGTCAGCAAACATCACTCTAAGTAAAACACATATGTAGGTGGATGTTGAACCAACACCATCTTGACATAACTTAAATGGCTTGCATGCTTTTTCCTCCCTGTGATGCGCCAGTCTCGAAAGGCTTGGCAATTGTGTAAATACTTCAAACAGGGCTCTTTGAGAAAGAACAGATTTGCACAAAACGTCTCAGCGTGCATATATAGTTGCACCATAAAGTGCACGCGAAGGTCATGTCTTTTAACAAAAATATCTTTGTTTTTTATTGCTTTTTATTCAAAAGCAGCTGCATATTGTACTCTGCATTATGTTTATTTTAGCAACCAATGGCGTAGGTACTGGTATTTTGCTTTACGAATTTGATGGTTTCTTGGTGCGTGTCAAATGCACACGCTTGAACAGGCTATTTGAAGAGTGCTTTTGCGAATGCATCGATCGGATCTTTCGCCTTTGATCTGTTTTGCCTCTTTTTTATTTGATACTGCAGCTTGTTTTTGCATGTAGCTAAGCTCGCCACTCAAGTGTCGGGAATTCCAAATTACAGGCCACTGCTAGTAAGTTCAGGCAACGGAACAGTTAAGCTGTGTAGGACACACGTAACCAGTTGGTCACACGGAGTTTTGAAAGCTTCGACTGAACAGTCCTTTATATAAAAATTTTGTTACGTTAGCATTCCCACTAGCACCCAGCTGTGATACCACGCTAGGGTCATGTGCATTTGACATTTCCTATAACAATTTTGTTACGGAACATCATCTATGGGATGCTGTTTATCCAATTTCCTTTTTGAGACAGGAGGGGAAATGGCAGTTCAGTAACGATGAACCGTGCACTCAAGAGTGTCGGCGCTGCAAAGGAACGCGAAACAATTGAACTGTTCCAGCTCATAAATGTTTCTTTGCCCTCAGCCAAGGACGCTAACCAATGCACGAATACAAAGTGATCAGCAAATGAGAATATTGCTTCGTGACACATGCGATGTGTCGCCATTTTTCTTTCGCGTGGGAACGTGTCCAAACTGGAAAAATATTTTCCCCGGTAACGACTGTGGCTTCCTTATCGGTCACAAAGTACATACATACAGACATCGAAAACTCGAGCCGCCCTTGAGTTTGAAATATGTCACAGTTGTTTCGGCTATCGTCGCCTCGGATCTGTCTCGGGCAACAAAAACAGTTCGGGGAAGTTATATATACCTCAGTGGGGACGGCGCGGTGGCACGGGGCGTGGGTCTCGCTCCTGCGTGCCGAAGCTGCACCCGCAAATGGTACCCAGAACTCCGGCCACTGCAGCACAATTGGCTGCATATTTATCGATTGTCACGGCCAGGCTACATTGATTCAGGCATGGAAGCTGCCAAAGTGCAGGATTCCGTGGGCGGAATATTCAGGAGAACTGATTAGGCATGGAATGCTGGGTCGCCCGGACCTGTCGCAATAGTTGCATGCACCCTGCCTATTTAATCCAGCTGGCTTTTGAGAACTCGGCTTCAAAAACCGCGCAGATACCGAGGATGGATTTGCTCGAACAGCGACTTAGGCGCGACATATCTCGGCCGCATCTGGGCCGAACAAAAGGCAGGCCGGCGCTTCGTCCGACTCTGCTTGATTGGCGGCGGATAGTCCCACTGGAAAACAGCCATTATCGGCGCGTCTGATACAGTTTTCCTGGCCGTAAACAGGTGCCCCGGGTCGGCGCGGTGACTGGGGAGCGGGCAGGGCGCGGCCGGACACGCCGGCTGACCTCAGAGCTCAGACTCTGAGCTCGGTTACCTGGCAGTCAGCCACCGCCCGCGGTCACAGATAACGCCCCGGGCGGCGCCAGATCCGTCTCTGGAGCTCCTTTACCGCTGGACGGAGTCATCCCCCGACCGCGGCAATTCCCGAGCCACGCCACCCCCGCCATCACCGCTGCCCTCCGCCCACGAGCGACGCCCCTCTGCTGCCGCCGCCACCACAACCGCCGCCGCAGCGCCGCCTCCGCCCCGCCGCCGCCGCCCTCCTGCTTTCGATTTCACCGCTGGCTGCCCGGCTGATGTGGCTGGGCACTGGATGGCGGCCGGGCGGCGCCGCCCGGGCCGACCTACAGACGCCACGGTAATCCAGAGCACGACAAACAGCGCCGACTGACGGACCGGCAACAGACAGACTGCGGCGGCGGTGGCGGCGGGGCCTGTTTGCGTCCGTCTGTGGACAATGGAAGGGGTGGGGTGGGGCGCAAACCGGAGCGGCCCGTCCGGGAGGGACGCAATGGGGTTCGGGTGTGTGCCGAGTGCCGAAAATACCCTGAGAACTGGGGCATAGTGCGTGCCGGGGAGGGTTCGGTGACTTGCTCTCCTCTCCAGGTGCACTGCGTTGGAGGTGTGGGCTGAACCGTGGAGCCGAGGGAAGTGTGGAACGCGCTGGGGAGAGAGGGGTGGTATTGGCCATGCCGGGGACCGACAGGCTGCGCCGCAGGTCTGGCCACCGCTCTGCAGTTGCGTTTTGAAGGCATGCAGCGCCCGTTTGCGCATGGGAACAACAGCGTGAGAACCACGCCCTAGGCTGCAACTCCGTCAGCTTTGAAGTAGGAGCGATATACGAATTTTCCTGTAGTAACAAGCGCACTCATTTTATTCGGTTTTGTCGTGAGTTGTGAGTTGTGTAACGGCATACGCAAA